ATCAATATTTACAGATGGGTAGAGACAAGTCATCTATGTTTACAAATGGATCGAGACTAATCATTAGCGTTTACAAATGGATCGAGACTAGTCATCAGTGTTTATAAATGGGTCGAGACTAGTCATCGATGTTTACAGATAGATCGAGACTAGTTATCACTGTTTACAAATGTATCTTGAACCGACCACTGTTCCAGCTTTGAAAAGTTTTCAGTGATAATGGGATAATTAACTTTTTTTTAACTTTAGATACGTGTCATAATTGGAAAGTGTTTTGAAGAAAACGAAGGATATGTCGTTACTCGTCATGACAGTTTTGTTTACTTTAAATTACGCCTGGTGGATTCTTCATAAAGAAAGCCAAGCAAGTGAATCTAAAAACTGTTTCCAAATTTTAGAACACAAGTTTTAAAGCAAATGCCAAGTCTTAATGTTGTTAGATCTATGTGGTATAGTTGTTAGGACATAATTCATAGTTATACTTAAAATACTGCTCAATTTAAAAACTACTATTTATTTTATGTGTCAGACATAAATGCGATTATATTAGTAGAGATTTAATATTTATCTACTTGTTAATGCTCAAAACCTTATTTTATATCATGAAATCTATAAATCGCACTCTTAATCTCTTTCTAGTTTTATTCTGTTGCATCAACGTTTCAAAACTCAGTTTCAATTACAAATAAAACTGGATCATTATAACATATGTCATTTCATAGTAATATGTAGTAATAATACTGGGTGGTGTCTTAAGACTAGCCAGCTAGTACTTTACTAGTGTGCGACATTAAGTATTCCCAGAAGTAGTAGGACGACATTTTAATTTATTGGTAACGTTATATTCAGATTAATTAAGCAAAAAGGATTTATAGATTAACAGAGGGAGGTGTTTAAATTTATGTTGTCCTAGGGAAGGGTATAATATTATATTTGGTTGGAAATGAGCCAGGTGACAGGAAACGTAAGCATTAAATTAATGGGTTGAACGGTACCTATGAATTATTAATCAGTATTGACGAATTATTCTAAATCTTTACAGCGTACTACAGTTCCAGGATTAGAATTAAAACCAGTAACGATGGCAACATAACATACGAATAAATAAGTTATGACGTAATTGTCTCGTGAAGACAGAACATTTTAGATAGTCAGGATAAACTTTAATTCAGTAAATGTTAAAGCGATTATCACCTAGAATTAACAATTGACCCGTATTCATAAAAATCACTTAATTATATTAATTAATCGTGAACTTAAAATGTATTTATCAAGTTAATGAAAATAAATCACTCTAAAAGCCACAAATAATGAAACTTTTCTTCAACAACAAACCTTGATTTTGTTATATGGTAATCATTACAATGAACACAGTGTGTAAAAGTCTGTAATGTAAAGACCATAGTGTATATCATTACAATGAGTGCAATGTGGAAAAATTTAAAGTGTAAATCCCATTGTGTATTTGACTTTTTCGCATCATTCATCACGTGGCTCTGGTAATAAACACCGTTTCTTGAGGATCGGAGACGCCAATTTGCAGCGGTAGCCTAGCAACTAAAGGACAAACAGTATTAAGATTGATAGACACTCACTTCGCTTGGCTAACCCCTACTGTGCAAGTCAGCACAGGAAGATTGGCAATAAAAGCTCTATATAACTGTACGCGACTTGACTCCATACGTTGTAATATTACTGATCCTTACGGGACTTCTGTGAAATTCCAAACGCACATGCGCCAACGCAACACCGCAGGAAGAATGTAGACTGAAGATATACTCACACACATATATATATGTTTGTTTAAGATAAGCGAAACGAACTCTGAAATAATTTTTGCCTGTCTCTACAGGCTTGTATAATAGTAATAGAGTAATGACTTTTTTTTATAAATATGTATATAGATCTTATTTTGTAATTGCATGATCTAAAGATATAAGAACTAATGAAAAATGTTTTGACATAAGTCAATCCCGTAAAAAAGTTAAAGATGACAAAGGGAAAAGAAAATTAAATTACTAGTAAAAATGCACGCTTTACTGATATAGGAAAAACAAACCACCATTTCATCACTATGCCACAAGACACTTGTTTTCCCCGATGTTTCTGTCAAGTAGAAAATAAAGCAACTCTCGACGAAGTGTTCACTTGAATAAAGGGGCGCAATTTGGCCCAGTCTTAGAACCTTAGGTTTCAGAGCTGGTGAACCGGGTTTTAATGCGTGCGATACTACAAAATATTCCTCAAAATTTAAGATGTGGGTGCATTATAAGAGTGACAGTGTGTGGTAGATTGCTACTGATTGGTTACTAGTTAAAAATTAGGAATGGCTGCAAAAAAAAAACCTTAACAGCTTTGTCATAAATACAAAATACGACAAATACGCTTAAATGAAGAACATCATTAATGCTTGCTTGAACTTTGTAAGTACGTAGTAATGAGAGACTATTAACACGACCTTTATGTTGTTAACTCGGTTTCAGTAGACCAGCTACTTCATTCATTTTTATGACTGTATCTAAAACTCCGTCTTTAGCATTCTGACGCTTTAGGTATTTTTATGCGAATACATCATTAATACGTCTGATAACCCTGAAGATGTTTCTCTCGTGGGTCAAAACATGAAAGAAAACTTAATCTTCTCTTTCAAGCGGCGTTTATTTACATTTCCTCACAAATGTTTTCTCTTTCTCACTTTTCATTTTCAGTGGCTCTCTGAATGTTTCACTTTGTTGTATGCCGACAACTTTCCATTGGCTGTACATTGTATATTTCTCTGAGTTTTTATCAAATCATCATCCTTTTCGTTTGTTTTAATTTTCCTTTTCAGTGACAGCAGCGTTCGTATTATTACATTCCTGCGATTTCCTCACATTGTCTAAAGTCTTTCGGTGCTAATACTCCCGCTTCCTCCTTATTCAATAACCTTTCTTTCATTTCCTTACTTGTTCAATGTTATTATCACCTAACGTTTTTTTTTTGTAAGTTAGTTCTAATAGAGCAACAAAAGAAACAATGAAAATTATTGGAAAACTCACGTGGCTCCAAAAGAAAAAATGAAAATTATTGGAAAACTCGTATGGCTCCAAAAGAAACAATGAAAATTATTGGAAAACTCACGTGGCTCCAAAAGAAAAATGAAAATTATTGGAAAACTCGTATGGCTCCAAAAGAAACAATGAAAATTATTGGAAAACTCATATGGCTCCAAAAGAACAAATTAAAATTATTTGAAAACTCGTATGGCTCCAAAAGAAACAATGAAAATTACTGGAAAACTCGTAGGGCTGCAAATGA